TAAAGTGCAAGGCTACAACACTCAAAAAGGGAATTTCTTACCGAATCTTCGGTGTGCTATAAGACCTGTTGCTTATGGACCTGATGTACCTGTACCTACTCCACCTAAGACTCTTGATGCAGTTTCATCTGATTCTGAATCTGATATCAATGAAAATGATGATAGGGATTGTTTTCAACCTGAAATGACTAGAGAACCACAACTTTTCATGCAAGGTGAAATTAATGATTTGGTGAGAGATTTGAGCCTTCCACCAAAGGATTCTTCAGAGATTTTAGGATCCAGACATTGGGCTAAGAACTTACTTTCTCCAGGGACATCATTTTATTGGTACAGAAATCGTGAGAAAGAGTTTATACCATACTTTTCACAAGAAGGTTCACTGGTTTATTTTAACAATATTGCTGAATTAATACCAATGCTAGGAGCTGCAGTCTATGAACCAAGTGAGTGACGATTGTTCATTGATTGCTACAAAAGAAGTCTAAAAGGTGTTCTCCTTCACAATGGTAACATATATGTATCTGTTTCTATTGCTCATTCAGTTCACTTGAAGGAAACATACAAAGATCTCGAACTTCTGCTTAATAAGGTTAAATACAAAGAACACATGGTTGGCTACTTTGTGGAGACTTAAAAGTCCTTTGAATGTTGTTGGATCAACAATCCGGTTATACAAAGTTTATATTTTTTTATGTGAATGGGAGAGCAGAGCACAAAATTAGCACTGGATAAAGAAGCAATAGCCACACAGAGTCAGCCTGATACCAGGATCTAAAAACATTTAACGTAAAAGTTTGGTTAACACAAAGAAAGTCCTATAACCTCCACCTCACATAAAACTGTGCGTGATGAAGCAGTTTGTAAATGCCTTAGACAAAGATGGCGACTGTTTCAAGTATCTATGTGGGCAATTCCCAGCTCTTTCAGAAGCGAAACTTAAAGAAGGGATTTTTGTTGGGCCTCAGATTTGGAAATTGACTTTGGATGAACATTTCAAAAGGACAATGAGGAAAGTTGAAAAAGAAGAGTGGATTGCCTTTAACCCTCTCGCCATGAGTATCCTTTACTGCGCATGACACAAGGTTTTAGTGTCTTACATTCAAAATTTTATTAAACTGCTTTTTGTTTATGTTATACCAGTTAGAATAGCATAAAATCTTAGCTAATAATCCATATTTTAATAGTATATAAGGTTTAAGTTCTTAATTTTACAAAGCAATATTTTAATAAATCCTGAATTTCCACAAGTGTGACCCATGTGACACATTTTGTCTTATCATGTCATCATCCCTATTTTATCCACCACTCCTCGAAAAAGTGCAAAATTAAACATAAATTACTCTCTTTAAAATTGTTATTGCTCAAACAAACCATAATTTTTATAGCCTTCAATTTTGTTTGGTTAACTTACAGAACCATCGAATAGTAAATCAGACCCCTCCTGCCACACCCACCTGTCAAATCCTCTCTTTCAGAATTCGTTACAGTTGTCTCTCACGTTTCATTATATATTAGCTATAATCAATAGAAAGTCAAGGTTTTCATCT